AAAGGAAAGAAGATAAGGACTTCGAGAAGGCAGTTACAATTAAGCTGAACGCAGAAGCTGGAAATTTGGCAGAAAGGTCACTGGAACAAGATAACGAACCGACCTCTAAAGTACCAGAGCTTACCTCCAAAAAGGACTTGCAACAATCCTTTTTCGAACCACGCACTGCTACCGGAGATAAGGATGACCTTTCGAAACGGCGAACTGGCGCTGAGATATCAGAGCGTGACCCGAATTTTTTCGAACCACGCACTGGTACCGGTAATGAGGACGACCTCATAAAGAGGAGAAAAGAGGAGATAGAGACGGTCAAATCAAAAGCTGAACAATTGGGCCGTGATATAGCGAAAGCAATTAACGAGCGGAAAGTCAAACAGAAGAAAAAGAAACCGACCCCTACGGACTTATTGACCCAAAAAGGCGAACCTGAGGATGCAGCCGAGAAGGAACTTCTTGATCGGATAACTAAAGGACGCGAGAACAAATAACCCACATAAATATGAATAAGGGGTTCAATTCGCTAAAAATAGAAGTTCAAAAGGTGTAAAATTCATACGAAGTACACCAGCCAATCGTTTTCGTTGATAGTGGAAAGGTCACCAAACTCTGACGAAAAGTCATCAAAAATGTTAAAAGGTCAAAAGGTCATCGAAACGGACACCAGAAAGGTCATCATAGATGAAAAGTCAACAGGAAGGTCCTCCAGTCGAAAGGTCATCGGACTCGGACTGAATTATACGAAAGTAGCGAAAGGTTATCGAAAGGTCAAGATACTCCGACCGAAATCCAAATGGAACAACGAAAAGGACACGAAAGTCCGGAATCTTCAGAAATTGTCGTCCAGTCGAAAGGTCATCGGACTCTGACTGAAGTACAAAATGAAGTGCAAACAAACGTCGATCGAAGTAAAAGCGGAAGAAGTGAAAGGTCAATCGAAAGGGTAAGAGACTCCGGCGGAAATCCAAATGGAACAGCCAAAAGGTCACGAAAGATCTGGATCAGCAAAAATGAAAGGTCATCAGACGAGGTTGTGAAGCCGGATCACCGAAAACCATAAGGTCAAGCGACTCACTTACCAATAGTTAAGCGCAAATGAACTTAAAGGTCAAATGTCAAATGAACCAAGTGTCAAGTGAAAGGTCAAGTGACAGACCGACTGAAGGTCACGGGACTTTCACAGAAAAAGACGAACAGTTTAAAGGTCAAGAGACGTCTGGAACCGTGGAGAAGGAAGCGCAACCTAAAGGTCAAGAGTGTTCCGTGTCTACGGAACAATCGAAAGGTCACGGGACTTTGAAAGAAGGTGGGAAAGAAAAGGTCATGCTCCCCATAGAAAAAGCGGCAGTAGATGCAGAAGCGGACTCCGCGCGACAGGTGGTTTAAAAAAGTCGTTGTTTACACTGTTGAAAGATGGTTCAGCGACGGAGAAACCGAAAGGTCAAAAGATTCTACTGACGACCGAGAAATCAAAAGGTCACGAGAATTAGCCGCAAAAAGAGAAGACTGACGAACCGAAATTGACTCAGTCTTCGTTCGGATCATTGGCGAGATAGACAATCGATGAGAAACAGAGTCAGGAAACCGAACCAACGGACTCGGCATTCCCCCAGAAACCGGATACGTGCGGTACATCAGCGAAATGAAAAATGCTGCCAGAGCACAACAAAATGCGTGGAGAACGGTCATAACTCATGCGACATTGCATAGAATATGTCGAACAAATGGAACGACATGACCCTTTGAGTTACAAGGCTGTGAACTTCGAACTGGAAGAATTTTGTAATCGAATAATGGCGAACAGATCAGAAACAGTTGAATGTTAATTAGTTATCGCCGGAGAGCTTGTGTAAACGTCAAAAACGTGAAAGGTCACCATTTGAGAATGAGTTTAATAATGCAACGTGAAAGGTCATCACGTTAAGGTACTGAAAAGGTCATCAGAAGTGACTATGAGGGTTAAGTATAAAGGTCACGTAACATATCATTGAAACTGTATTCGTGTATTTGTTGTTTGCAGCGTTTATAGCACCGAATCAGAAAGGATAAAGAAATCATGTGGAATACTATTGGGGTTGAAATTGATTCGGTCCATAAAGCCGGCCCCAAGGGAGTAGTTACGGCAGTTAGCCGGCTCTCCTCTCTAAGCGACTCAGTGTTATAAATGCACAAGAGAAACTACGGTAATCAAGCCGGATCTCTTGAATACGAAACGGGGCCACAAGCGGCGAAAAAGAGAAAGACAACAGGTGGAATATTGATGAGGTTAATTTAATGCGGCAACCAGCCGGCCTCATTAGAGTTGTTACGGTAAACTGTGCCGGCACTCTTTTTAGGCGATTCAGTGTTAGAATTAAAACGAGAAAAACTACGGCAACCAAGCCGGATTTCTCGTAATAACGTAAACCACAAGCGGCGAACAAGAGTAAAAGATTTAAGGTGGAAATTTCATGGGGTAAACTCAATGCGGTAACTAGCCGGCCCCATCAGAGATGCTACGGTAACCTTGCCGGCACTCTGGCCGCTCGAGGCATATTGAAGTTGGATGTGCGACGGAAAGGTCAAATCAAGTCTTTACCAGGGAGGCAAGCAAAGAAGTGCTTGAAGCCGCAGAAAATCGGCTAAGTTCCTCCATGACCTTTAACAGAAGTTTTGACGAGTGGGATGACCTTTGGGATCATCAATTGCCCAACAGAGTCACCGTATCGGAATTCAAGTCGCATGACCTTTGGGACCATTAACCCAAAACGAGTCGCACATCTCAACGGATCATCTCAACAAAGGATGACCTTTACTAGGGAGGAAGCGAACTACGCTTGTCTTCATTGACGTCCCTCCATGACCTTTATTGGATCTCATTTTGAAGTCGTACGAATGATACGCACCATATTCCAAAGATTGAAGCAGTATTCCTAAGTCGTACTTGATACGCACCTGATTCTCAAGCGGATTGTGATGAAAAGTCGCATTATGGATGCGCAGGATTGCTCAACAGAGCGGAATGGGCCAATGTGCGGCAAACGGTGGACAGGACCTGTGACCTTTGCGAGTCAGAAATGGAGGATCCTAGTCTACAATTTGATTAATACTTTTGTTGATCTGTTCCTAATGATTTGATAGTATTTTTATAATTGGATCTCTTTATTTCACATTGTATTAAACGGAATTGTGCCTTTACGGAATTGATGTGATAAAATGGATTAAGAGAATTTGATGTTCTTGAGCACGCACAGACACCGGCGACCGTCGTTTTCGTGGATTCGGGAGTGTGTCCAGCCTCACAGGAGCTCGGCATCCCCCCAGAGGCATGTGAGCGGGGGTTCACTAACGTTCACGTCCGCAACGCTACGCCACCGGATTACGTGTCTGTGTTGTGTCTCTTTTGATTGGCTTGAGTTGTGTTAGTGGGCGCGGCATAGCACGTGCTGCACAGTGTTACACACTGTTGAATTGGCTCTCCGATTGATGTGTGTGCAGTTGTCAGTCAGTTGTGGGATTTCTGTTGTGCAGACTTTCAATATTATTAAAGTCAGCGATTACGGTGCGACGTTTTGTGTTTCCGCATAGTTCGCGATCCAGGTCGTATCGCTCACTCCACAGGATAGATTCTGTTTCTGTCTCTGTCTCTAGATCCATTCTGGATCTAGCATTAGACCTAGAATAAATTAAATGTGTGTGTGCATATTACAGTGCGTCCGTTAGTTAATGATTTATCTACGTCATAAAGAGATAATATTAGTTCTCGTACACCTTTATAATCTGGAAAGTGTATTTCTTGTTGCGATTTCAAAATGCAAAGTGGGTGCTTGTGTTTGCTTAACATAAGAATAAGGACATTAACAGGTATAAGACTCCGCCAGCAGTGCTGTCGTTGCTGTCTTCCTCAATGAAAATGTTAAGTAAATGCGCAGTCGCCAGTCTGCGGCTTGCAGGTATTATCATTCTTTAAATTCAAATCACTCAGTTAATTGTTCAACACTTGACATATGCGCTGTCTACTAAGTATTGAATAATAAGCAATGTATTGCAGTTGACATTGTCATTATACGCTATGTAATATGTAAGTACTGCAATTAAGCAAAAATTCTGCGCGTTGAATTAGACACAGTTTCAATAAAAATACTGATTAAATTATAATTGCGATGGTTGCTGCCAGAAGCCTGCATCCGCCAGTATTACCGTATTTGAACCGAAAGTGATACGTAAAGCAGGTATAATCTGAGGCCGCCAAGCGCTCATTAAGCTCAAGGATATCACATTTCAAAGTTGTGCGGGTTCGGCAGATCTATTGACGCTCCCATAGACAAAGCATAGGCTCGGGTCGTCAGGCCTGTTTATGCAGTTCGTCAGATCTATTGACGAAAATCTACTTCCCTGACGGGCTAACATGTAGATTATCTATAATCAACTGATTGATATATCTGCCGGCTAGATATTGATAGCTGAGTCTTGTGTCCGCGCCTTCCAATGCAGTATTAAATGGGTGCTGCAACTCTGTTTAGTAGACGAAACTGTCACAGATTACACTCAGAATCAGTGCCGCTCACGATCGAAGCGCGGTAATGCGACGGTATTGTAAAAGCGTTCCATTCCTGCATAATGGCTGCATTCAGCTAAGAGCTGGCAATCTGCAGAAATCGTTTGATTTCTGATGACACAAATGTCATGACACACACTGAAAAGCTAAACTAACTATTCTGTCACTCTTGATAAGCGCGGCGTAAAACAAGCATGTTTGACGAAGGTCCGGTATGTGTCATAAAAACAACGAAAATACAAAAATTCGTTGTGTATCGTTCAGGTTTTCTCTTCAGTTGCGACTAATGCAAAAAACTGATGTGGCAAAAGTGTTTAAAGCTGTTGGGCAACAGGCCTGCGGCCGTAGGGCTGAGTCAGCCTCTGACTACTAAAGTCAGAGACAGATTATCAAAATTCGGGTCTTTTTCATTTTTATCGTTGTGTTAGGGTCTTTTTAATTTTAGATTCTTAGTTTCTTGGATTTCTTAGGCTTTCTAAAAATAAACAAATCACCCTAAGAATTCCAAGGAACGCAAAAAGCGCAAGAAACCTAAAAAAGATTAATAAGTCTTAAATGGCTAAAAAAATGTTTTGTCTGTACGAGTCAGGCTGCAATGCCACGGGGGGCGCATTGTCCACTGACGAATGTGGCGCATGTAACGGTGACCGCATAATGTGCCAAACACCGGCTTAAAGTCCTCAAAGGTTTCAATTACGCCCAATAGACTGTAAGACAACGAAAAAGTAAAAAAACCTGCGCTTGATTCTGGCAAACAAAGAGCGCTTCTGGTTATAATTTTTTATGTATCTGTGCTGTAGATACTGCAGATGTAATCGGTGTGCAATATTTTTTATTCTGTTGTTTTCGTTTTTTATCTTTTTTGACAAACCCTGAGCGAACAATCGGTACGCACTTGGTTCGGTATCCCTCGTACTAAGACGCGTTAAGAATGCTTTTTTTTTATAATCAGGGTTCATCATACCTGACGTGGACCATGCACATGCACGCCTTCAAGAGTTTAAGGTTTTTTGAGTTGTTAATAACGAGAAAAGTGGCTTCCTTCATAATTTTGATTTTTTAATTTTTAACAGTTGCCCCGTTTTATCGCTTGCCAGAACGCGTAGTGGCAAGTGCCACTGCCGGTGGCAGTTGCCAGTGGCAGGTGCCACTGCCACCTTTTATCCCCTGCCCTCTGATGCTGAGCGTGGTTCGAAAGTATGAGAATTGCGCTCTGCTACTTCTTTAGTAGCTTGTGACCTTTCATTTTCGACCGCTGCTCTTTCCGAGTGACCTTTCTCATCTTCTTGATCTGGCAACGGTGGGTGCCAGCGCTTTAATCGGTCGACTGAGACGACTCTTACATCTGGTTCTTTCGTTGCTTCCTTCCTTTCCGAGACCGAATGAAGTTGAAGTTCAATAACTTCAACTTCATTTGGCCTCGGGAAGCTAAGGATTTTCCAGACTTTGTCATACTTTTTCTTAAAGTCTGCTTGATTTTCTTTCTTTCCTTGCTTCGTGTCTTTTGGAAGTCTGATCAAGACGCGGTCGCCGACTTTGAATTCCGGTTCCGACTTCTTTTTATTGTATATTTCAGCATGCCTTTCATAGGCGTCCTTGATATTGCACCTCGCAACTTCCTCTGAAAAGGTCAAGTTCTTTTTCATGGTCTCCACCCATTCGTCTGGAGTACCGTAATCGTCGGGAACGTTCGTCTTTGTGACGACATCTTCCGGCATGGTCATTTCTCTGCCGTGCAGCATGAAGTATGCTGAATATCCCGTCGTCGCATGTACAACGCGATTCATTCCCGATACGACGTATGGAAGATATTTATTGAACTTCCTCTCATTCCCGGCTTTCATATATTGAGACAGTCCATCGCTGATGGTTTGCATCTGTCTTTCGACTTGTCCTTGACCTTCGGGATGATACGCCGTTCCAAACGTGTGTTTGATTTTGAACACGTTGGTGACCTTTTTCAAGACTTCAGCTGTGAAGTGTCTTCCGCGATCCGTATGGAGTATATGTGGCGCTCCATGTACCAAAATTACGTGCTTCACAAAGACCTTTGCAAATTCTTTTGCCGTAGCCGTTTTCATTGGCTCCGCTATCACGTACTTCGTCAGCTGGTCGATGAAGACCGCAATGTACTTATATCCTTTCTTCTTTGTTGGAAGTAGAGGTCCTTTTAGATCCGCATAAACTCTGAAGAATGGATGTCCGACTTTAATTTCTTGGAGCTTTCCAGGCGGACATTTTCTCGGTGTCTTTCGAAATTGACATCCTTGGCATGCGAGGATGTAGTTCTTTACATCCGTGCTCATTCGGTCCCAGTAATATCTGAGCCTGATTGCGGCCAAAGTCTTTTCAAAGCCGAGATGACCTGCTGCCTTTTCATCAGGCAGTGCATGAATGATAGCCCTTCTCATTGGCAGCGGTACAACATACGTCCTTTCAAGTCTGCCGTTCTTATCTTTGACGCGATACAGTATGCCGTTCCATAACTGGTAATGCGTCTCGAACTTTGACCTTTTATCTGCGTCTTGCAGATGCTCCAATTCATCAATGATCATCGCTAGATGCGGATCTTTCAGCTGTTTATTCCGAAGTTGCAAATTTGAGTCATGCTCTTCTTCTTCGTCTCCTTGAAGATTGACGATGCGAACTGTCGCAGTACTGAGTTCATTCCAATCTGTGATGACCTTGCATCTTGGAAGAGGCTTGTGACCTTTCTCAATCGTCTTCGGAAATCTTAGCAGTCGTATTGGACACTCGTCCGGTATGTACTCGGCGAGGACTTTTGCTTCAGAAAGGTCATTCTGGTCTGTCATTCTCTGACCGAGTTTCGTGACCTTTGCATCTTTTTGCTTTAGCGTCTCTTTCCTCACTCTGTTGACCTTTATCTTGGTAGCAGAGCGGGGTTCGAAAGTAACCTTTGAATTACGCTCTGCGGCTTCCTTAGCGAGCTGAGGATTCTTTCTCTCCGACATTGCCCTTCTCATGTCGGCTTTGAGCCTTTCTTCTCTATCTTCTGCTAATTGCACGAAGAGTTGCCAAACTTCAATCGGAGGCTCTTCTCTGTTCAGCTCATTCTTGTAATCTTCGAAGTTCGGGATTTCGTCATACTCTTCTTCATTGCAAGTGGGACCTTCAATCGGCGTTCTTGACAGTGCATCTGCGTTGTCGCAGTACTTGCCTGGCTTATACTCGATCTTGAATCGGTGACCTTGTAACGCCAATGCCCATCTTGTTAATCTTGGGTTCATTCCCGACTTGTTCGTTTCCGACCTTAGGAGATTCGTCAATGCTTGATGATCTGTCCTTACGGTGAATTCGGAGTAGTCGATGTACGACTTGAACTTTCTGACAGCGAAGACTACTGCCAGGCATTCCCATTCGGTAACTCCGTAATTCTTTTCAGCTCCATGCAAAACGCGGCTTGCGTATGCGATGGGATGTCCATCTTGGGACAAGACTGCACCAAGCCCTTCCTTTGATGCGTCACACTCGATCACTGTCGGCTTTGACGGATCGAATTTCCTCAGCACTGGATCCTTGCACAATGCTTCTTTAAGGTCATTGAATTCTTGGTCGTGGACTTCTGACCAGTCTCTCTTGATATTCTTGTCGTGTCTTAGCAGTTCATAAAGATGTGCTGTCTTTTGCGCGTATCCAAGGATAAACTTCCGGTAGTAATTCGCTAATCCGAGGAATGACCTCAACTGCCGTTCAGTTGTCGGTTTCTTCTGATCATAAACTGCCATGACCTTTTCAGGATCCATTCTGATGCCATTCTCACTAAGGATATGCCCCAAGAAACCCATTTCGCGCATGCCGAATTCGCACTTCGTTGGCTTGATTGTGAAGCCTGCGTCGACTAAACTTTGAAGGACGTTCCTCATATTCTGCATGAAGATCTCCCAGGTCTTTCCTGCGAAGATAACGTCGTCGATGTAGCCGAAAACGCATCCCATTCTCTTAGCGTTCGACAAAACTTTATCCATGCACAGCTGAAACGTTGCTGGGCCATTGCATACTCCAAAGGGCATTCTTTTAAATCTGAACATCCCATCTTGGGTGACAAAGGTCGTCTTGTCTTTTGAGGCTGGATCCATTGGGATCTGCCAGAAGCCACTTTGCAAATCCATCTTGCCGTAATACTTGTTGCCTGCGCATGCGTCGAGCAGTTCATCTGGATTCGGCAGTGGGTAGTTGTTCTTCTTCGTAAGCTTGTTCAGCTGAATGTAATTGACACAGAACCTTGTTCCCATGGTACCGTCACCATTTTTCTTTGCGGCCAGTACGACCGGGAAACTCCAATCTGCATCAGACGGTTCAATGACATCTTGCTGCAACATCTCTTCGATGTGCTTCGTGATGAATTCGCGACCTTTCCAGCTAGTTCGTGCTGGGTTGCATTTTACTGGCCTTGCGTCGGCTGTGTCAATAGTGTGCGTTACCCCTTTGACATCGCCGTACGGTTTCTTTGATGTTGGCAAGACCTTCCAGAACTCCCAGAATGCATTTCGTACATCATTCTTTTGTTCTTCAGTTAGGTCTGGTCCTAACTTGAGTCTTTCGATGATATCGTTCAGTTCTTCTTTCGTCTTTGCGTCGACATTCGGATCATTAAGTACATCGGCGATTACCGCCGCGTTGACCTTTACACTCTCCATGTGTTCATACGGTTCAACGTAACCGAGGAATTGGCCCTTCCTAATTCCCATTCTCTTTTTACTTCGGTTAGCGACGACGATTTCAAATCGATTCCCTTTATGATCCGTCACTCCCGTATACGGTTGGACGTCTACATCCTTCTGTAGTGTCGCTGTGAACATCAGCTTTTGAGTTCTTGGGGCGTATTCCGCCATCTTAGTCTTGACGCGGGTGCAGACATTCGGTCTGATCTTGATTCTTTGATCGCTATAGACCTTGATTGCCCCTTGAGGGATTCTTGCTCTCTGCACTTTTATTCTTCTGACGACGATTTCTTTTTCTTTTTCGTCATCCTTATCATCGTCTTCGTCAAGATCCATCAAATCTTCTTGTTCGGAAAGGTCATCCACTCCTGAGTCTTCTGAAGTGGTTGAATCGCCACTCGTACTTGACCAGTCCGAGTCAGATTCACTGCTACCGTTCTCTTGCAGCATCTGACCTTTACTTCGATCCTCTTTCGGTTGGTCCATCACGCCTTCATCTTCACTTGACGTTGAAAGGTCATCGCTTTCATCCTTGGAAGCGCTAAGTTTTTTCGTTTTCGATTTCTCGGGCAGAGGTTTGCCCGTTTCCTTGGACTTTCGTCCGTTTCGTGCTGCTATCCTTGGATGAGCTCGCGTTGCGCGGATTCTTGCTCGTGACCTTTCCTTCTTTTCGTCTGAGGCAGATCGTGGTTCGAAAGTATTGTGAGAGCCACGGTCTGCGTGGTCTGACCTTTCGTCGATTTTATGAACTGACCTTTCTGGCTCTTTTTCTTGCAGCAACTCTTTGAGTGACCTTTCATTCTCGATTGGTGGACATTCCTCACCATCATCGAGTGACCTTTTGAGTGACGCTACTAGCGCTGCTGCTTTCTTCTCGTTTGGCGACATTTTAGCCTCAGTTGCTTCTGTTACTGGGATTCGTGCTTCTTGATCCCGAAACGCTTGGTTCAGTTCCTTAATCATCTGGGACAATTCGTATGCCGACGGTGACCTTTCTCTGTCATCGTCATCTTGGACGTCTTCTTGAACGGCGTTTATGCCGATATCTTCTTTTTCTTGTTCTTCTTCGGCGCTTGTACTGTTATCCTGCTCTTTTGCTTTTTCTTCGGCGCTTGTGCCGTTTTCTTGAACGGCGCTTGTGCCGTGACCTTTAGGTCTTTTACCGCCGACGAAGACGCAATTTGCCATCAACTCTTCAGTGACCCAGTCGTCGCTTGGTTTTGTCTCGTACATGCACCATGTATCGCCGCCTCGTTCGGGATACTCGACTCCATCTGGGTCCGGTGCAAAGGTCACCTTCTTCTTTCCAGGATAACCGAATGGTCCTGGTGGGCGTCTTTTCCTTGTGACCCTTAGTTCTGGCACTTCGCCGACGATCGTCGGAACTTCTTGCATAATCTTTGTCCATTGTTTGTTGAAGGGTTTCAGGCTTCCATTCTTCAGGCATTCCTGGTAAAGGCCAAACAGCTCGTACACCGGTGTGCCGAGTCCGATTGGGAAAATCACGACTCGTCCTTGACCTTTCCATAGATAATTCGTTCGGAATTGCCAGAATAATTCAATTCTTTCCGCTTCCCATAATTCGTTTTCTTCCATAGCTCGTCGCCGTTCCTGATCGAGCTTGGATACAGGTTCAGTGTAATAAGGATCGCTTTCGTCCACTTGACCTGGGATGTGATTATCAATTTCCTGCTGCCAATGATGGAGCCATTTTCCTCTGGAGATGATGTAGTTTTTCACTAGAGACAACCATTCTCGATATCTTTGCCAGAGGTAAGCTGCTTTTGGCAACTGCTCCATTGGAAGCGTCCTCATGATTGACTTCGTTTCAATCCAGTCGCCTCTCTTGAGACTTGCAATTGCGGCGTTGCATTTCGGCCATTCCGAAAGGTCATCCTGCCTTGCTTCTTGTAAGCACTGGATGCACTTCTCCTGCGGCTGTACTTTCGAAAGGTCATCTTTCCAATCATGATCACATGCCGTTGCTCTTTCTTCAGCTGTCCATTCAATTGGTTTCGGTTGGACGCTAAGGTCACCCTCGTCTTCGGTATCCGTCCAGTCGCGGTCACACTCCATTTGGATGGCGCTGTGGTCCGATGACAACTCGATGACTTCTATTTCTTCATCCGCAGAGCGTGGTTCGAAAGTAGCTTTTGAACTACGCTCTGGTTTATCTTTTCGGGAGCGTGAATCTTTCAACTGCTCTATAGCTTTCTCCCGTAAATCGTTGAATAGCGCTCTTTCGTCACTATTCATCAGTCCCGTTTCTTTCCTGGGCTCTACCTTTTTCGTGCCCGGTGCCTCTGGTACTGGGATTAGCTTCGACCACTCCAGTCCAGGGACTAATGCGTCTCTCTTCGCAATCAGTGCTTCAGCTTGCATGATCTTTATTTGTTCCATAGTCGGGGACCTTTTATTGCCTTTCATCTTCGGTGACCTTTCACTTCTTTTTGACTTTTCTTTGCCCAGTGCCTCTGGTACTGGGATTAGCGTATCACCAGTGTCTTTTTGCTGTTGACCTTTCGATCCCTGTGCCTCTGGTACTGGGATAGCCGTTTGCCCCGCTTCATTTCTTGGCTGAAGTTCGGTGACCTTTCCTGCGTTAACTTTCGCAGTGGATTTCGGCTCATCATCTTTTTCCTTATCTTCATCTTCATCGGCGTCTTCGTCATCCGTTTCATCTCCGTCTATTAAGACGAACTTCTTTGCAAGGAAATCAAATCCAAGCAAAACCTGGACGTCATCTGACGCTGGTCTGACGTAGAAAGAGTGTTGAGTTGTTTTCCTTCGTAAGGTCACCGGCGCTACGCAATAGTGCGTTACTTGAAAACCTGAAGTTCCGCTTATTCCTTTGATCATCACCGTCCTCTTTGGCGGTAGCGGTACAGTCTGGAGGCCATTCCTCTCGCAGAACTGTTGGCAGATCAGAGACGTCTCTGCGCCTGTATCAAGCATTGCCATGACCTTTACGTTCCCCACTTTGACTTCATGAGTCAGCGCTTCGATTCGCTTGGGCGTGTTTCCATCTTGAAGTTTCAACACTCTGATTCTGCAGTGGACTTGAATTGGGTCACTCGATCTTGGGTTCATACTCTTTATCGGTGACAACTTGTCGATCCTCTTTGGAACATCCGGTCGGACGTCATAAAATTCTCGGATCCTCTTTCCGGATGGTACGTCACGCGCTTGCCCCTTCGCAGCGTTATTATCTTCCGTGACCTTTGGAACTTCGCGCACTTGCCCCTTCGCTTGCGCGTTTTGGTTGATGTCTTTTGAACTCAACCGGTCAAACCTCTTCGGAACGTTAGTTCTAGCATCGTAAAATTCCCGAATTTGTCTTTCAGGTTGCAAGTCACACGCCTGCCCCTTCGCAGCGTTATTTGTGACCTTTGATGCTTCGCACATTTTCTCCTTCGCTTGTGCGATTTCGTGACCTTTCGTCACTTCTTTTATGACTTCGTATCTTGACCTTTCATCTTTGGACGGTTTTTCTCGCAACTTCTCGATTATCTCTTGCGTAATGCGATCCGCGAGGGTCATCTCATCGTCTTTGTCTTCCAGTTCTTCTGGTGACCTTTCGTAGACGATCATCTTGTGATCGTTTTCGTTCATCCATTCTCTGAATTTCTTGTTTATTTCTTCGGTTGGATCGACTTGTGATGATAATCCGTCAGTTGTGGGCGGTGACCTTTCTTTGTTATTCCGGAGTGCTTGCGCAAAGTCGTATGACCTTTCCTTTTGTGGAATTTTCGCTAAGTCCGGTGACCTTTCTCGTCGAGACATGAAAAATCCGCCATTTGGTGACCTTTGTAAAGGCACTTTCTCGCCGTATTGCGGCGGTAATTCACCCTTTTCCATCCTTTCTTGAAACTGACGGTTTTCTTCGTCCATTTTCTCTTTTGCTTCTCGATATTCCTTGACCTTTGGTTGAGAGGCTTTTACGAGTTCCTCGAGATGCTTTCTCGCTCGCCAATCTTGTTTCTCTCTTTCTTCCCAGTAAGCTTCTCTGGAAATTCTCGCATCTTGCGGTGACCTTTGTGGCAGAGGAACTTGTTTCCACATGCCATGTCGTCTGTAGGTGACCTTTTGCCACTCCATCTTTTGCTGCAACTTATTTGCTGATTCAAGAGAGTCGTCTGAGACTTGCTGTGCCCCTTCTCCAACTTTCACTGCTTGCTGCGCCATTCGCAGAGTCAAGTTACTTTCTTGACCTTTTGGTTCAACGGCGACTTCACCGTGACCTTTCTCTTTCAGTGACTGTTGAGTCTCTTGCACTGGCTGTCTCTCGTGACCTTTCACTTCTTCTCTCTCTTGAGGTGACCTTTCGGTCTCTTGCGCTCCTTGCGCTGTCACACCCTTTTCGTGACCTTTCTCAGCAGCTTTTTTCTTCTGGAGTGTTTCTTTCATATGCTCGAAGAATTTCGGTTTATCTGGGCCGTCTTCGTGCGTGCGTCGCACTGTCATAGTTATTCCGTCTTCTTCAAACTTCTTTTCGACGAACTTCCGGAATTTCTCGTGATGTGCTTCATCATCCTCTTCTTCCGAATCTGCGGCTTTAACCCTTGCTACTGTCTTTGCGAAGTATTTCTTCCTCTTCGTCGTCTCGCTCTCTGTTTGAGGCGGTGACCTTTCGGTCTGCTGTTCTTGCAGCGGCGTCACGTTACTTTCATGACCTTTCCTCGCAGTTACTTCCTGCGATGACCTTTGGGTCTGTTGTCCTTGCGGCGTCGCGTTACTTTCGTGACCTTTCCTCGCAGTCACTTCCTGCGATGACCTTTGGGTCTGCTGTCCTTGCAGCGTCACGTTACTTTCGTGACCTTTCGTTGCAGTTTCTTTCTGCTGATCCGGATGCAGAGTTGAGGCCCTTCCGTCAACCCTGTTGCCCGCAGTTGCTTTCTGCGGTGACCTTTCGGTCAGCCCCGGCTGCGCCAAGTTACTTTCTTGACGTTCCGCAGTTACTTTCTGCGGTGACCTTTCGGCCAAATTCTTCCGTCCTTGCGGTAATCTTTTGATAGCCTTGCCATCACCTTTCAGAGCCCCTTCGCTCGCTTTCGAGTTACTTTCTCGAAGCTTCGGATTTCTTTTCCGTATCTTTGGTGACCTTTCACCATTCTCTTTCTGCGCCGTGGTCCTTCCCTGCGGCGGAGCACCTTGCTCTCCTATGTCCGGTGGTTTCGGTTCTGGGCGATCAGTAGGCTCACCGGCGCCTACTGACCTTGAACGTTTCCCTGATTCATGCCCTGCTGCGGCGCACCTTGCGCCTGGCCGGCACCATTCGCCGGGGCGAAGTTAAATCCTCCGCCTTGACCACCGAAGTTTCCTTGGCCACCTTGACCACCACCGTTCCACTGACCACCTTGACCAGCGAAGTTTCCTTGGCCGCCTTGACCACCACCGTTCCACTGGCCACCTTGACCAGCGAAGTTTCCTTGGCCGCCTTGACCACCACCGTTCCACTGGCCACCTTGACCACCGTAATTACCCTGGCCACCTTGACCTCCGTAATTACCGTTACCGCCTCCTTGGCCCGGGCCGGCATAGCCGTAACCACGGTTACCTCCGCGGCCGAAGCCTCTGCCCCTTCCTCTGAAGCCTCCGCGAGCCGGGCCATACTGGCCGTATCCTCCGCCTTGGCCACCTTGACCGGCGAAGTTACCTTGGCCACCACCTTGATTTCCGTAATTGCCCTGGTCACCTTGACCGGCAAAGTTCCCTTGGCCACCTTGACCTCCATTATTCCATTGGCCACCTTGACCTGCATATCGCCCACCTTGTCGTGCTTGTGGGACGTAACCATTCGCCATCGCTTGCCGCCAACCACCTTGGTTGCGCAGCTGCAGCCATTCCTCATACACAATTCGGTTCGGGTTTTGGTTCCATGGTGTGCCCGCGAATGAGCATCCTTGCGTGTGGTGGTTGCCGTACATGCAGTTCTGGCATGTCAGCGCGTTATTTGCCACCCATCCATCGATCATCGTGAAGAGTCTTTCCATTCGCGACGCATATCGGGTAACCTGGTTCCCTTGCTGTCCGCGATTGCCTCTTCCGCCACCGTTGAATCCTTGGCCAGCGAAGCCAGGATTTGCTTGTGCCATTCCTTGACCCGCGAACCCTCCATTCAGGGCATTTCCTTGCGTATTTCCTTGCACATTCTGTGCTGGTCTAGCCACTTGCTGGGCTGCCGCTTGGATGGCCGCAATAGTTGGCCTGGTCACTTCTTGGACCGCTTGAACCGCTGCTGCGATTGTTGGTCGGGTGACCTCTTGCACTGCTGTCTGTATCGCCGCGATCGTCGCGTACGATATCTGACCTTCATTCCGTTCGTTCCGTTCATTGCTAAAGGTCACCTCTTGGTTGTTCATTGCCGGGAATTCCGCATCATACCGTGGTGCTTGTGGTGGCGGGGGTTGGTTTTGTCGCCCATTCGCGACTTCTGCCACCTGACCTGACCGAATAACAACATAGTCATCTCGGTTCCGATTGCCTCGCGTGACCTTATATTTGTCTTCTCCCGCCGACCATGTGTGGAAAAATTCTTTGATGTCCGCCGGAGTCTCGAATGTTCGAGCTCTCATTGCTTTGTAAAGGTCACTGTCGCTCTTGCATCCGTCGATCAAGAAAGCGATCGCCTGCTTTTCCGTGATCGTTTTCTTTGATTTGAAGCGCATCATCGCTTGATAGAACTGATCCAGCGATTCTTCACCAACTTTGAACTTCCTAGCCATTGCTTCGCGTAAGGCGAGGACCCCTTCGTCTCGATCGCCGAACTCTTCCTTGAATTTGGTCATCCATTCGTCGACCGTCATCTCATCATTCTCTTCTCCGAGGATTTCTCGTTCCCCATCGAACCAGACTTTTGCATCCCCTTTAACCACGTTGGCGACTTCGAGTATGACCTCTTCGTCACTCATCCGGAATGCCCTTTTCGTTTCCTTGACTTGGCGGATCCAACCGAGAAGACTGTCTCGGTTGCCGTTGTAGTCCACCAGATTTGATTTTCTACCCATCTGCTTCACTATTCCACGGAACTCATATTGTTCTCGTCTTAGACGTTCTTGTTCGGCTCGGAGTTGCGCGCGTTCATCCCTTTCTCGTCGTTCTCCGTGTTGTGCGAAACCGTCCTGCTCTGGTTGTTGATCACGGTGACCTTCCGTGTTTTCCGGTTCTCGGTGGACGGTGGTTTCTTCAAATTGTCGTGGATCATCGCTGTAACTTGGCCCTGTCTGGTGTGATGATCCGCCAAAGAATGGTCCCGGGTACCCCTTCGTACGTTCGGTTGACCTTTTCTCGGATTCCCTTTTAGGAGGTTCAGTGCCTCTTCCGTTCCCCATTCCTGTCTTTTCGGGCATCTGGAAGGTTGCGCTGAACTCGTGAGTATGAATTTCGGTAGCGTCGCCGTACTTCGGTGGAGGAGTTGGTGACCTTCCCTGCTTTTGCGGTTCATATTTGCTGAGTTGCTCATCTTTATGTTTCAATGATATTAGAAGAGCGTTATTCTGATCTTCTAGCTTCTTGACCTTTCCAGAAAGGTCATCTCTTTCCTTCTTAAGGCTGACATTCTCTGCCTTAATGTGCTCCACCTTTTTCATCTCGCCATGGATTGAGAGGGTTCGGTCATTCTCGCCCTCCTCGTAGGCTTCTTTATCTTCTTTCAACTTCTGCATCGCTTTTTCAAGCTTCTCATGCTGCCTTCCAGCTGAGATTAGCTGCTCTTTCACCGTAGCCAATTCATCGTCTCTTGTCATCACCAGAGTCGTCATACCCAAAAGGTCACTCCCAAGCTTGGCGATGTCTTGCTTCTGCTTGCTGTTGAGAACTTGCCCTTCTCTGTTCTCAACTTCAAGCACCGTGACCCGTTCGTCGAGCAGTTGTGCTTGCGTCTTCCATCTCTGAGATTCCTTTTTGTGACCTTGAACTTCGTCACTCAACCGCTTGACTTCCGCTTTCGTTTTCTCGCTGAGTTCCTGGAGTTTTTGCGCGGCTCGATCTCTCTGTTTTTCTGTCTCTCCTTGTTTCTTCTTCCTTTCATTCAATTCCATCTGTAGCTTTTGATTGTTTTCTTCGTATGTCTTGAGATCTTTCATTAGCTCCGTAATGTCTGCTGTCAGGCTAGCTACCCTTCCCGTGACCTTTGTTGCGTTTGACAGACATTCATCGCGCTGAGTTTCAACTTCCATGACCTTTGACTTCAAAAGGTCACACTGTTCTTTCAATTCCGCTATCTCCCGTGACCTTTCGGCTGACTCTTCGGACAGGCTGTTGTTGAGGTCTTCGACGGCGAGTATGCCTTCCAAATCCTTATCGTCAACCATTTTCTTCAGTTCTTCTGCCATTTGCTTCTGCACTTCATATCTGACTTTCCACTGCTGCATTTCATCTTCCAGCGTGACCTTTTCTTGTTCTAATACGAACACTCTTGGTTCCATTTCGATGGTTTTGTTCCTTTGCTCCCGTACTGCGGCGAATGCTTGCTCATCTTTGTTCTCGAGTTGTAATTCTAACTCTCGAACTCGTCGCTTCGAATCTGTTGATGCGGGAGTTTTAGGGGTCGGTGACCTTTCGTTGTCAGCCTTTCCTGACGCCGTTCCCATAAAGGTTTCTTCCGACTTTTCGTTAAAGGTCATCTGCAGGATTTCGTCAGCTTGTTCAGCTTCTTTCATTGCAGTGTGAAATGACATCTGCATTGTCTCGTCTTCATCGTCCGTAAAGTATCTTTCATCGTTTGATGCTGGGCTGGTTCCCTTCTCTTCCAGCCTCTTAAAGGTCATCGAGTCATCCGAAAGGTCATCCGGCTTGACCTTTTCTGCGTCTAACAGCTGATTGCTGTTGACCTCGTCACCCCGTTCGGTGACCTTTTGACTGACTTCGTTCACGCCCTTCTTTGACTGATCTGCGTTTTCTTCCTTGACCTTTTCGGCCGACCGTGACATTCCTCCGGTCTCGACCGTCAGGTCTGCTTGAATCTGTCCATTAGCTACCGTTCTCCCGTCGGTGACCTTTGACTGGTCCACCGTATTATCTCCGTTTTGACGTCCGGAGTTTCCCTTCTCATCGCTCGAGCTCTCAACATTCTGCGTTTCTTTCAGAGCCTTCTGGTAAGTGGCTTCTGATCCTTTAGAGTCCTTCCTCTCAAAGGCTTTCGGAGCTCGAGTCGTTCGATCGTGTTCCACTGGCCGTGTAAACGGCTTCAATTTCCTTTTGTAAGGATCACTCGCACCTTGCGAGGAATTCTGAGACCCTTTTCCTTGTGAACTGCCGGTGGAGATCGGTTCATTACCGTCTCTATCTTGATCCATCTTTAGTTTGGTGATCGGATAACTTGGACGATGCTGTCAAGGTTTCTCACACGTGTGTTAGATTATGTTTATGTGACTTTTTACACGTGAACAGAAACAAGCACTGTCCTAAAGGTCACTTCGTTTTATACGAGCTCAGTTGCTAAAGGTCACTCTGCCTTTAAAAGATCTAAGTCCTTTCTAAAGGTCACTTTCTACTTCAGAAATTTGACGAAGTTCTCGTAAAGGTCACTTCCTTCAGCAAAACTTAACTCGTAAAGGTCATCAGCTGTTTCAGCTTAACGCTTACTCCGAATAGGTAAAGGTCACTTTTTGATTTTAGGAACTTTTTCTGGTAAAGGTCACCAAAACTTTTATCAAAACTGCAAACTTCGAGATATTTTTGGATTTTATTTAGGAATTAACAGAACTCAACTTCAAACTTGCGTCAAATCATCAACTATCCAATTTTGGTAGAGGTCATCATTCTCGTCAAAATTTTTCGTAAAGGTCACAATCTCATCGATCGACTCAGAAAAAAATTTTCAGCTGGCTACGTCACGTTCTTATGTGCCGTGCGCAAATTCTCCGCCTCGTCTCAAAATCTCAGCTTCTCATTGGCTGATTACAATGCTAACTTTAGCTCATCTGCTGCGCCAATCACAGCGTTAATAACCGACCAATCAGAAACGTTGTTTTTCTATTTTAAGGCAGAGTGACGTCACGAGGAAAAGTGAAAATTTTCACTAGCGCGCCGTGCGCAAAAGTACCGCCTACTTTCTCGCTCAGCTCATCACCGACCAATCAAAATTGTAATTTCTACCTTTGCGCCAATGGCGTAATTAATAACCGAAATTCTGACCTGATCGTCTCCGTGATCCAGAAATCGATCTTGCGCGTCCTTTCCGCGATTCCTCCAATTCCTCCAGCGATTTAGCTGACTTCTCCTGGGCCAGCCACTAACCCCTTCCGTTTCGTATCAACGGGACGCAGCGGTGCGTCGACCAAATGACGTGCTGGCTGCGGGTCTTCTGCTGAGCCGTGGCGTTAGCTGCAGCAGGGGCGCTCGACCACCCTTTTGGGGGAGCGCGTATGATGTGTGCGCCCTACTGCCGTAGGGTAGCACCTGAAACTCCACACCCGACAGACCAAAAAGTGGCTTGCCCACTCGTGCCCCCCTTCGGGCTTCTGCCTCTTGTGGCAATCTTTTTCGGCGCTTGTGCCCCTCCGAGCAGAACTACTGCCGTAGCCCCACTCGCGTCAGATCAGCTTCAGTGCACTCTACTGCCGTAGAGATGCACCTCGTCAGATCTGCTGTCGAGATCCAAGCTCCTTCTCCGACTGCTTCGTCAGCGAGCCCTTCCTCGCACACTCCACACACTCCGTCAGCTGGACGGGGAAAAACTTCAGATTATCCTGGAGAAACACGTCTCTTGCTACCATATAAGACGGGAACCTGAGAAGGTTCACGTCGCAGAATCGGAATTGACGTAATTCCGTCTGCCAAACAGATCTGGCAATGCTAAACGTCTAACGCTATGGAAAAGCGAAAAAAAAAGACGTGACTGCGAGAACTTTTTAATCAAGACTAATTTCGATAGAAATTCAACATGTGCAACTCTGCATTGCCGACTACGGCAAGCGGACGTAGCTGCCACACCATGCGGTGGCGCTGAGAACACTACGGTGCTGCCTCGCGTAGGCGGGCGCACAACCAAAACACAACAAACAGCCAAGCGAGGGTGTACGCTGAGTACGCCTGCGCTCACAGGTGTAATGCCAACCTGGCTGACTTTTGATAAAATAAAAGTACAAAATCCGCGGATAATCTGTGTCCGCTTAAAGTGCAAACTGCAAGCATTAATTGTTAGCTGGTCAGAAAAGCCAACCCGGCTCGCTTTTATAAATTGAGTGCTCCGGGTTTACTTTATGGACAATACTCAGTGCAAAGGCCCATCAATAAACGGCGCTAAAGCCTATTTCGGAATAGGGGGCACAATGATTGTGATGTCATCAGTGGCCTCACAATGTCCAGATTTGCAGCAATATCCATGGGCTCGGCTTCCAGCCCAAGAATCGTAAAGTTGTATTGTCTTCGACACTGGGTCGACCTTGTTGGTTACCGAATGGTAACGAAATGATCACGCATATTGTATCCCGCTTGGACAATAGTTTTTCCGATGTCGTAAGCACTACGTACCTGTTTGGTGTGAATTCGCTGAATATTTTGGAAAGTTTAGTCTGTCAAACCGATAATGTAAATATACCTGGGCCGGTGTAAAGCTGCCCAAAATTAGTACGCATGTCGAATATTCGTGGCGCTCTAAAAATTCCCAAAGTTTATGCGCCCGGTTTATCGAAGCGCATAGCAATCACCTTTAAATATTTAACACGTTTCGGTAAACAAACTCAGTGATGTGTGCAGCCACTAGTCACGTAGCTGCATGCTACTGGGGCTACGAATGCAATCCGGCGCCGGAACGCGAAACTGTAAACTTAAAATGGCAAGGATGGTAATTTGAAGTATTGGTGGGTAAATTAAGAATAAACACAGGGATCACTCTTTCAAGTTACTGAATGATTTTTATTGATTTCGATCAATTGATTTTCAAATATTACGGACTACAGAGTATATATAGGTGATTATAAATGCTGAAATCGTTGTCAAAAGGAAGCTTGTCTGGTTGTCAGTATCTGTAGAATCCTGCTTCTGCAACAAATGGGGTGAAGCATTTAGCCGTTGTATTGCGCGAAACCCAGGTCAGCTAACTCGTACCAGGTGTGCTGCGTATATGCTGTGAACTAATATTACATAGATACTGTAGATATTCTATTTCTTTATCATCACGAACAAAATAAATTGCATAAAGCTATGCTGGTACCCCAGAAAGAAAGCACAAATGGAAAAAATTATGTTTGGAAAGCCCGTGTTGTAAAACGTCGGCGAACAGTGTCGATTTTTAGAATCACATGTGTTAGAGCGATCAGACGTAACACATCCATGAAATTTCAACTATCAAGCAGTATCCCAGCGCTCGCAGTTTCTGTATTTGGGTGGCTATTGCCAATAATTTCTACGCTTCCCTGTAATTTATATAAAATCACTTTTCCGTTTTCTTAACTGGTCTACACCCAGGTAGGACGCTACTAAGTAAAGTAAGAAAGATTTCGATCATTTATGCAACCGATCCGTTAACTAAAATATAAGAAAAATTGAAGTATAATTGTTAGTTTTTTGTTATTGATCTCATGAAGGAAAAATTGCTTACGTCAACTTTGCAGCTGCAATAATTTGAAAAATTTAGTGAAAGAAAGAAGAAATGGATGGAAAAACGAAACAGTCGAATTGCACACCGAAAAATGCTGATTGCACCCGACAGAAACCCGCCCAGCGTGAGGATACTGATAGAGGGAGCGGTTGTTTTCAAAGAAAGCTATTTTCTCGAGGAAAGCGGAAACTGACTGAAGAGCAGAAAAAGGAGATAGAAAGGCTCGTACGCCAAAGAGTCCCTGCACCGCAAATTGCAAAGCAGTTAAACATTAGCCAGGAGGCCGTGTATCAACAGCGGCGAATGATTACCCTTACTGATGAGCAAAGGCGAAAGATCCTCCAGTTGTTCTATCGCGGCTTTTCCAAATCGGATATTATGCGCGAAATGGACGTAGAAGGCGATGCCGTCACGGCTGCGATTCAAAACTTCGGGAAAAGTTTCGCCGCGCGGGATAAAATTAAGACTTCTCTCAGCGCGGAGCAAGAATCAGAAATACTGAAGTGCTTCGATGAAGGCCGCAGTAGGGATTACATCGTGGAGAAGTTTGGGCTGTCTGTCGCATCCCTTCGAATGTGGCTGGAACAGAATGGAAAAGCCTTCAAGGAACGTTCCAGGAAAGATTCCCAGCAGATACGAACGGATATTCTGAAGCTTCGTGCTGAAGGATTGTCTTTGCACGCCATTGCGCAACGGGTAAATGCGTCTCCAAGTACGGCAGAAAGGTTGTTAAAAAAATTGGACGGCACTGTAAGGGTAGCGGAACGGCCGAAACAGCCACCGCCAAGCACGGTTGCAGGGCAGTCAGGAAAGGAGTTATATGGTGTAAAAGGGCAGCATTCGGTGCAGACAGCAGAAAACGATGGGAAGGATGGCACTGACGCTGTCCTGGCATGCCCAAACTCGACCTGCTCTATAGCTCGGCAACGAGAGAATCCACACGATGCTGGTTGTGAGCATTTAGCTATGCACGACCACAGCGGAACACCTACAGCAATTACTGAAATATCGACGTGTAACGTCGAGAAAGAATCATTTGCCGACGTTTCAAAGGACATCTCTGAAGCTACCAGGGACCCGTGGTCGGTGAAAAACCAAACGGGTACGTAAGAACGAATTATTGCGATTTTGTATAAAACCAGCCGTCCCATGTAGTGCGGTATATCCCCATAGTTCCTAAAAATTCTTTTCGGTAATTGGTAAAACCAGCAGGGTATAAATAATGTTAGATGCATCTGCCACAACAACTGCCACTCGCGCTGGCAGCTTAGAGGCAAGTAGTAAAACATGACAGTTGCCAGTGGCATGTTTTATCGCGTGCTACCATACCGGAATTCGTTTTGGTGGTTCTGGTCTCGTCCAATCATTTCGGCAATCACATTAAGGTCACATGCGGGCGTTTGCATCAACGCAGAAATCGGCCAGTGCTCATGTCGGCCAGTGCGTTCGCATAACACGTTTGTGCAGCTATTTTTACCTATTAAAATACTTAACGCGTGCAATTATCGAGTGAATGACCTTTAATAGTATCGGACATCGGATACCAAAAAGGAAATAATGATTATAACAGAAACACTTCCTCTATGCTATCCCGATCGGGGATCGTACTCATTACACAAATCGCGTTTACCCGTTGTATTTGGAATTTGGATAGATCATCGCTGCTTAAAAAACTCTTTCGCACGTTTCTAGCCAGTGAAAGTCGCTATACCATTTCCAACGTTTTCCACTAACATTTTAGTTCCATCTCCCCATTCCCCAAGGTCCGTAAATTTCGAAGGCTGGAGCAACGAAATCGTATCGTGGTTGCAGCCAGGCGTGTTTGGCTAGTTCCCTCTTTCCGCGAGTTCGGCTGCTGCGCCTACATTCACGGAGGTGCGGTCGAGTTATAGTTACATAATTATATTAGCTTTTCAGCGGTCACCACCCATGTGGTGCGTTACTAGAAAACCGCTGATTCTGCATCTGGTCAGGTGTTCTCAACTTTTGAATTGGCTCAGAAGGCAAACATAAGCAGAACCTATTGATGGTTCGCTATAGTTCTTGAGCTGAATTTCGGGAATGAGTGACGAATGACTTTATTATAATAGTAAAAACGGTCACTTGGGAACATTGTGTTGCGTTCAACAAATTAACGCTTGTGGCGGATTGACTTAGCAAAACGAATGGGCCAAGTGAAATATATGTATATGGTGACATATACACTGTATGCGGTAACATACATACAAATCTGCAGGACAAACGGCTCTGAGCCGGGAAAAAAGATGAAATGCTCCCAGCCACAAAAAATACTGACGAGAATTTTCACTGTCAAGCATTTATGAAGACGAATGCGCTAAAAGAAATATAGAAAAATCGAAGTATTACTGTAGAAGGCGGCAGCGACACAGTCCTTGGTTGCCAAAGGCCGACACGCTCCTGGTTGCTGCAAAGTCATGATCCAAACGATGCTGCTTGTGAACCTACCGCTATGCAACACCGCAGCGAAAGCGCCGCAGCGAAAACTCATTTATCTGCGCGTAATATCGAAGAAGAATCAACTGAAAAAGTTTTCAAGGATCCATCCCAAGCAGCCATGAACCCAGAGCCGGGAATAAACCAGGGCGGACGTGAAATAGCGACATACTTTGATTTACCTACTAATTTATATAGTGAAATTCTGAACAAACTTTCTGTGCGGACGTGGACGCTTTCAGTTATCAACAGAAGTACGCAGTATTTTTAAAATAGTCGTTTACGGTTTAAATAATTCGCGGAAGTTCTAAAGTAGCTCAGGGATTTCCATTCGTTCTTACACAAGCGTACTTAGACGCTGCTTTCCACGTCTTGCTGATTCGTGGTTGAAAAGCCACGAAAAGAAGCAAAATATTGACTCCAGTTTTCTAGCTTTAATTTTCAGGAACTGGCGTCCCAGATTTCTTAGCGAGCAGTTGCCTCAGGGAGCCGCAGCCGGGTTTCGTTGATAAGGCTTTTGGCGAAAAGCACCTAGTCGGTATGGTCAAAGAAGCCGACCTGACGATGGAACGTCCTCTCATGTCACCTTCAGAAAGGTTAAGGGTTTATGGTTTACGATCAAACAAGCCGCGTAAACCTTTCTGCCAAACTGCATAAACCTTCCTGCGGGCGGCGTTTTCGATGCATCTACCTCTCTGCCGGATTTGTGTCGGCATTCATTGAACAGACAATTAAACCACTATGACCATTCAAGGGTATTGTTCTAAGGACTAGTAAAAACCACTCTGGTAAGTGAATAAGCTGGGGTCGTTCGAGCAAACCACCTTGAACGTAGGCCCGC